ACAGTTCAATTATTCATGGTTTATTAAATATATCAAATACGATGTTTAATATAAATACATAATGATTAATATATTAGGTACGTATATTTTTAGTTTTGGGTATATTAATATTGATATTGAATAAACTAAAGATTTTAACTTTATAAAATCGAAGCTCTAAATATAAAATACAATTATTATTTCTAAATTAAAAAATACTTTTAAAAGTAATTAGGTATAAGTATTCATGTTCGAAAATGATGTAGTTTTCTTGGCTCGAACTGCCAATGCTTCATCAATATTTTATTTTTGCCGCCAGCCCTGGTCAAATGCAAATGCTCGGGAAGGAGATTAGGAGAGGACGTGGATGGGCTGTAGAAAATATAGTTTTGATAAATATATGATTTATTTTACAATTTATAATACAATTACATATTGGTGTCTTGAATGCATCTTAAATTTAATGTGAAGATGCGATTTCTTGGAACGTTTCTTTGGACGGATGTTTCACTACACAAGATGCTCCTTGAGATCATGATGTTGTTGTTGATTTTGTAAGGATCACCAATTGAAATGGCAAATTTCTTTTCGGTGAGTGTTTTATATTGTTTAATGATTGCTTCATCTCAGTCATGGACGGACTGGATATGGCAATGTAGTAGGTCACACAGACTTTGTGTACTCACAGCGATACAGTGTCCTTGATCTGATCCGGGATGAGTAGTTCACCATGATTCACGATCCAAATGTCCGGGAGTGCGTGCTTGGTAGTCTGGTCCTTTCATGTAGTAAGAAGGAAATAGCGATAACACCTATCATCTACAGCACAGGAGGATTCATGTATCTTCCTTCTTTCAGTGTCTCACTTAATAAAAACTTAGTCACTAGTTTTCACCAATAAGTGAGAGGGGTCCTTTCTGACTTGACTCCCCCACGAGGAAAGCCATTCCAACTTGGTTTCCTCACACAAACAACCCTTAGCTACTCTGTCGTCCCCAACATTAACACCTCTCACAATGAGTCCCCACTCAAGGTGCTCCTGGTCTAATCAGGGTCTAATCATGGTCAAATCAGGGTGCACCGCTTTTAGGCGGCATGATTGAGCATGTACGCCTCTTTTCCCACTTCCTAGGATATTAGACTTAGACAATGACAACGCCGTAAAAAGTGTAATCTTTGGCAGCAGCGCCTTCAATTGGGGGGAGGCTCACCCTCTCCGGGACTTAGCATTGCGAGGGGGTCGGAGGGGGGGGGGAGGGGGGTATTCTTGGTAAAGCGTCTTCGCTTGGCCTATGCAAGCGGCAACGTGAGGATATACAAGCGGCAACAATGCATGGGTGATGTCTCGTGACATTGAGGGCATTGAGGACACGACACGGGGATTGCCCGATCTCGCACGAGCTGGATTTCTCGTTACAATGAATTTCAGGAAATGTTTTTCTACTCGCTTGTTTTCGGATATTTTAACTCTCGAAATATTCTCGCGTTAACAGACTCGTTGCGCTCTTGCTAGTAAATGACAAAGGTCGTTTATTGCGCTTTCCGAGCCTCCAATGACCGTGGAATTTTTTTTTATAAAAATTATGACCGTTGGTATTTTTTCCAAACTAATACACGAGAAATTCTCTCAATATCGAACAATATATTTAATTTTAAAAAATTGTGAAAAGTTAAAACAAGATTTTTAATTAAACAAATAACATTTATTATTAGTATAACTATTGTTGTTGTTGTTGCTGTTATTATTATTAAAATTTAGTAAATTTAATTGTGATAATAATAATTACCGTTTCATTTTTCCTAATATTATTAATTCTACAAATACTGCTATGATTTATTGATATTAAACACAATTACGTATAGAATTGTATTTTAATATTCCAATAAATATTCTTTACTTTTGAGACATTAAATTTTTAGAATATTGTACATTAGTTTTATTTTCTATCAATTTGAAGTTGCTGCATAAAATAAAGATATTTAAAATGAATTTGAAAATAGTGGTATTTATTGTTTTTTAAAAATAAAATTTCGTAAGTTTTGTTTTATGATCGACTTTAGAATTATAAATGTTTATATTTAGGTAAATTTTCCGTATTCGCTATATTTTAGAATACAAGAAATACATAAATTTTCAAATAAAATTTTGTAAAAAAATTCACATCATAAGAAATAAAAATAAAAAGACAATTTAAAATTGGATAAAAATAACAATATTATAAACAAACTTAATATTACAAAATTGTAGATTTTTAAACTTGCAAAAATAGATTATTATAAATATTTATATTACTGCAGATGATTATATAGTTTCATAAAAATTCACTTTTTAACAAATTATAATATTTACCTCAAACTAAATTTGATTTATGACTATCTTCGTGAAATCTAGAATCTATAAAGACTGTATTTCTTTATTTATGACTCTGTCATATGCAAAACCGACCATTTTACAGCGTACATAATAGTTTGTTATTACAACAACTTGCCTTTCAAAATAAAGGGAGTCCATCTTTTTTTTTAATAAAAGTTCTAAAATTTTGAATAACATGTATGTTATTATTTATTTAAGAAAATTGTAATTCATGAAGACTTCGAGCTTTAATTCAAAGACTAGATGCAAGTTTTTATTATGAAACCAAGAAAGAGAAAATTGTTGATGGAAGTCAGACAAAAAATTGTAAAATAATAATGATTGAGAATATTAAATTTAGAAATATTAATAAATTTGAGAATGCACGTTTGTTTATTACTCTGTATTACTACTAAAAATTAATTTATCTACTGCTAATGATTTTTAGTTCTTTTTGAAAGATCTTAAATTGTTTTGCTATAATTAAATACTACAAAAATTATTATCAGATATCTCGCTATTTATTTTTATGTTAATAAGTATTGTTTTTAAAAAATATCATTTAAGCAAAGGTATTAAATAAAATATTTTTAAAAATATATAAAAAAAATTGCAATAGTTGTCGCCGTTGGGGATGTAAAGAAGTTTAGATAAACTTTATCCGGGCCAAGGAGAAGTTATTTTCCTAAGTATAGAATTCCGGATTCTAAGAACTTGGAGAACAAGGACAGAATTGTTAAGAAAAAATCCGAATGTGATACAAACTAAGGAATTTATGGGTATTATGTTAAAACTAAGCTGTTCTATTGGTAAAATACAGAACAAATCTAATATATATATATATATAACTAAAAAGAAATAAAAATATTGTAATTAACTGAAAATAATGAATATAATACGAATATGCGTAAAAAGTATATTAAATATTGGTACCACGTGTAGCATTCTCCAATCATGTAGTATCAGAATAGTAGTTATTCGAAGCATCATTTCTATCGATTTCGTCGTGCAAAAGCGGAAACTAATCGACGAAAGGAAGTGTGAGATTAGAAATCCAAGTTCAAAATAGGAAGGAATTAAATAATCGAACAGCTGTAAGAGCGACCGAATAAGAAGTACAAAGGAAGTCAAAGACTATTCGACACAATTTTTTTACTAAATATGAATATTCGAAATAATATGTGTTTGTGACTACAAGTAGATTTCTATTATCAAAAAGTAAAGGAGTCAGAGAGATAGAAATAATAATTCAATTAATTAATGAAAAAAAAAAAAAAACGTTTAAAGAACAATGAAAAGCACTATATTAATTGTTGAATGAAAAATGTCATAATTAAGTTTAATGTAGAGTTACAATAAAAGAATGTAATACATACTTCTAATTTGATAAAATTTACATTTGATTCTATAAAAATATTCATTATATATTTTACAAATATTTAAACGATAAATGCTTAAACAAATATTTAAAATGTTTTATATTCATAAGTAAGAAATTCATTACTATATATTCTTCTCTGATATGATAAATAAAATGTTAAACTAAATATTTCATGTATTTAGAATTTGAACATATATATTTGTGGATTCTAATATATAAATAATTATTTTATACTTCAATTTATACTACTTTAAATAGTTGCAAAATCGATTTTTTTTTAAATTGCAATATTTTATAAAATCAGTGGCTAATTGAAAATAGATTATAAACTTGTTACAATTCCTTCATTCATTTGAGTTAAACTGATTTCGATACAAAACTTATTTAAAATATATTGAGGTTTATTAATTGCATAGGTTATTTGAAAGCGCATGTGTATTTATGAATGTGTACACATGTGAATTGCTAATATTGATAGTTATTATTATTTTCTGAATAAGTCTTTATTGTCTAGATTTTATAAATAAGTAAATTTAAACATATATATATATATGATAACAAAGGAAATTTCGTAAATCAATATAGTGAATGTATTTTAAATAGTATGTATTTGTGTCTTTCTTAATTATAATTCAATCATAATGATCTTACGTTTAAAACATAAATATAGAGCTCATAGAAATTCTACAATTATTGCACGTAGGGACATAATTTATGAATCATTTTACATTCTATAACATGGTTAAGATAAAGAATTATTAATCTAAGTGACTAACTGCATAATGTATATTTTGATAGTACAACTATCAACAAATATAACAATAAATATATCTTTATATTAATGTATAATGTGTTGTAATGACACAGTTTACAATAATTTTTCTTTTTAATATATATATATATATATATATATACAAAATGTTATAAACATATGATATATTATACATATAAACAAAGACTTATACGTGAAAGCATAGTGGAAATTTAGTTTTTTACATAACAATATATAAATTAATACAATAATTTAATATTATATCTATTCAAATAAACACTGAATTTATCGAAATACTTATTTTCAAAGATAAAAACTTTTAAAACTTCTGTAAGATTTATCTATTAAATAAAATTAAATTATAGAAGTAATAATAAGTAGTGGTATTTACAAAAATGTAGAAAAATACTCGTATTTATCGGTTACTCTTTTCAAATGCAATAACCCATGGGATTTTTATCCATTAGCAAAACTTACTTGTGAACTTATTCGAATGAATGTATTTATTTACTTACCAACATAAGTTTTTCATATTCCTCTTCTACAACAGTACCATTATAGTAACGTTTACTTGACTTTATATCAGGATAATAAAAGCCTCGTTTGCAAATGCACCGATAACTTCCTCTACGAAAGCCTAGACCAGAAATTGCAGCACACTAAAAATTAAATCAAAAATTGAAATTGTTAATGTTCTGAATGAAAATTTTGAATCAAAATTAATTTGTTATAATGAAAATTTTGGAAATTGAATTGGAAATAATGGAAATTCATTTGTCATTGTATTTTTACTTTCAATTATTTATCTTTAAACGTATAAATAAAAAAACTTTTGTAATTTTATATATAATTTAAGAGCAATTTTTATCTTTATATTGAACGAATCAAAAATCGATTCTAGTCGCAATTGCGCCGAAGATTGACTTCTTAGTAAATAATAGATGTTTTCAATCTATCTTACTTTATCATCTAATTTTTATCGAAAGTTCGCAGTTGCCTTCATTTTAATCATATCTCAGAATATTTTATTAAAACGTTCGTTGAATATCTAAATTAATTGAAAATGATTTTTACGTTAATTCATGAAGTATAATTAATCTATTTTTTAAGTTATGTATTAATATTCTTCATACGTATGTATTTAATGATCATCGCTATCGACACTATGTACAGTTAATTATTACTATCTCTGTACATGAGAATAATTATATATATATATATATATATATATTTTTTTTTTATGTTAATGATGTTAAAACAAATATCTTAAAATAAGCTATATCAACTATAATTTAATTTCGATATCGAAAAATTCCTGTTTTCATAAAGTTTTTAACAATTGAAATTCATAAAGGGCAGCTTACACTGTTTGAAAATACAGAGTAATGAACAAAATTAAATAAAATCCAAATTATAATTATTATTTATATCAACTATTTCACACGATAGAACGTATATTTAAATATCACTCTTACTAATTACTTTAATTTTGACTTAACTTTTGTTCTAATATTATATTATTTATTTAATAATTTTACAATAATTAATTAATATTTTTATCCAGACAGTTTTTCGTTTAAGCATAAAATAATCAAGTTATACAGAATTTATATATGTTCGTTTTTTTTGCTAACTACTTTCACAACTATTTTATAATACTCTACTATTTTAAGCATTCCTTTGCAAGTTTTTCTGAGATTTCTTTACAACAAAATTGTTGTTGATATTTTACTCTTACGATTGAATTAATATTTTTTATATGTATATGAGATACTATCCATAAAAATATGAAGTATATTATACTTGCTATTCATAGTTTTGACTATGCCCATCAATCATTGCTGCATAATGAAACTGAGTAAGATATTTTGAAAATAAGTATTCTACATTGGAATGTGTATTACTTATGAATACGTTAATACTTTTATGATATCTAAAATACATATTCATTTATAGATGCTAACTTAATTTTTAATTAAAAATGTTTAATAATTATTATTTTTTTATTATTAAAAAAGTATCTGTAAGGATTTGTTTACATGGATTATGAGTTATATTCACAACTTATTAATAGTGGACTAAAATATGTCCACTTAGCTTCTATCCAATGTTTTGTCATAATTTTCGTATATATTCGCATATTGCAACATTAATGAAATTTATGTTACGATCCTTTATATCTTTGCAACGTGATTCCTTACATAATATGTATATATGCATTATTAAAAGTTTTTTAGAATGAAAATATAATCATCATTTAAATCTATTCAATTTTTAAATAGCATTATTTTTAATTCCATTATTTAGCATATGTCTTACATATATATACAGTTATCATATAAATAGAGATACTTGAAATTCTAATATATGAAAGTTGTATGTCTTATATTTGTTTTTCTCTTTTTCCGATTAATCGTTTTTATTATTCGCTTTTACTGTTATTGGGTTTTCAGAATTAGTATGATATTTTGAAACTACTTTGGCTATATGTTAGTATGAAGTACTTCAATAATCACTTGATTCATTGAGTCGTTAATGATACGGATAATACTTCTGGTTCTAACTAATCGTTCAACTTGCTTAACTCGACATCATCATTGAATTCAGAAACCATTTCTGCTCTACTACTATCGTCAAGCTCAAATGTAAATATACATTCTTGAGATTTTGCTTCGAGAGAGTTCATATAAAAACCATTGAAATATCCATAACTATCTTATTTCTTTTTTGGTAGTATATTCGCTTAAGCCCAAAACTCCAATACTACAATATATATTTTATTAAATTCTAATCAATAATGACATTTTATGATATTTTAGGTTTCTTAAAATTAAAATTATTTATAAAAGAAATTATATATTCTATGAAGAATAAAATATATATTGTCAACGTCATTTCAATATCTTATTATTTTACTCTCATTGTTACAAGCATTATTTATTACTCTAAAGCTAGGTAATATTTCTTAAATGTCAAATTTTCTCAAACATTTTGTGATGTAGTTTAGTAACTGTTCGATTTTTAAAGGTTTAGTTTATGGCTCGAACTACCAATTCAATAGTTCAGTGGATTAGTCTCTCGGCAGGATAACTTCAAAGGAAATAATAGGTGATAAGGCTGAAAAGTATCGTGTATTTAGTAAAACAATGTTTATTATTGTAAAATATTATAATAATATTGCACTTTTATGTACAGAGAAATAATTCTATTGAACTGGTGAGGGTGTATTCCTGTATTCTTGAATTATTGTAGATGCTATGGATTTACTGTGTCTTGAAGTTGAGGTAATGCTGATGTCGTCAGTCAATCATGCTCGTGAGGTAGCATGAGAAGATGGTGTTCGAATCAAGTACGCTCGATGTATGAATAACTATACTTGATATGGTGTAAGATGTTTAATGGAATATATTAAGTAAACAATTGTGTCTTTAATTATTTATGGGGACAGTAAAAGAATCTAGTCACCGGTAAGAGTGATTAATGGTAAGATTTCTAACTCGTGAAGGATTTAATAATCGGTATTTATAGTCCATCAGTCGATCTGTTGTTATCCTTTTGTGACAATGTGCTTAAGGCATAGCGACTCTTGTGTCAGCTGTTGATGGCCTGTACGATGTCGAAGTGTTAGTTCGAGAGAGCGTAAGTGTGCCCTATTTCTGCCAGAGGTCCTGAATGGTTCCGAAGTGTTCTACGAAAGAGTTTACGTTTGTCCTCTCTCTGCTAGCGAGCCTGAATGGTTTCGAATGGTTTCGAAGTGTTCTCCGAAAGAGCGTGAGCGTGTCTTATCTCTGCTAGAGAGCCTGAATGGTTCCGAAGTGTTCTTCGGAAGAACGTAAGTTTGCCCTATCGACTCTTATGGGCTTGTACGGTTTCGAAGTGTTCTTCGAAATAGCGTAAATTTGCCCGACTTGTTTTGTGCGAGATGTGACTAACTAATTTATTAATATAAAAAGATGTACCTTAAAATATAACTAATATATATATATATATATATATATATATATATATATATATATTAATATATACTTATTTATTTATTTATATTAATTGCAATGCATTTATAGTCAATTTCAAATATAAAAGTAGAACTAATAATAAATAATAAATCAACAGTCATGCACAATATGTCCATAAAAATATTCCTGTTAAAAGCACGGTGAGAAATGAAGAAGAAATAAAAATCGAATAATTTTTTTAGCGTTGTTAGCGTTCGTAGCACAATTATCCAAGTTAGCTTCGGAAGTCTTGAAAGCAATCCGACAGTTATGGCGCCGACTATAATAGTGTAGTAAAAATAAGGTGATTGATCTCAAACAACGAGTTTCGCATTCAAGGAAAAAAGGAGGAAACATTTTGACTAAATAAAACGTATTATTAAAATAATATCTGCAACAATAAAACAAGAAGTACGAAATTAGCAACGGTATAAAAAATCATTTTTATAGATATACAGTAGATGAGATATCTCTTTAAATGTAAAAATAGAAATAAAGAATGACCAGCGAAAAATAAATAAAATAAAATTTCTTTAAAAATGTAACAAAAGCATAATATTTGTTCTTTTTTTCGATTTAAGCTTTTATATTATATAATATCGATCCAATCGTTATTTCTAACCATATCAGCATCTATTCACTCAATGGAAAAATGAATGCACAGATAGCTTTTAATTTATATTAGATGAGTAGGGAGATTTCCATAAAATTATGCAAGATAAATTTTATAAAGTGCTAACTTTATTTCTATTCAAGAGATTTTTAATAATAAAATCATGAAAAACAAGTATAAGAGCATTTAACGGGAATACATAATTTCATAGGAATTAATAAAGAAATAAATAAACTTAGTAAAAACGAACTATATTATTCTAAGAATTTCAACAATATAATGATGTTAATAAATATACTCAATACCTTTTATTCAGGAATTCGAATGATATTTGGTAACTTTAAATTTTTATTATTTTGAATGACGAGAGATAAGTAAAATAAGAATTGCAATGAAGTACGTCAATTGTCAGCATAGAGTGCGATATAGTCGATATTAGAAAGCTCTATTCTATTTATCTGCTGTCTATTTTATATATTAAACATAACATTAACCTTCATACAACAGAATGTAAACTGCATGCAATAGAGTGGAATTATTAACTTTTGTGTTATCTTCTTTGTATTCTCAAAAAATTTCTAAACATAATTTTATAATACACAAAAAGACAAGAATACAGGTATGAATATATTCCACAGACAAAATTAATATAAATGTTGTGCAGATCTAACTTCATTAGGTCACGAGCCAGGTCAATTTTGTGATAAAAGGTGTATTATAGGTTTGAAATAGCCTCAATAAAGATGTAGATCGTGTGCTTTGTAAGAAACGTAATCACATTCTCCAGGAGATCCAGATTATGCGACAACTGTATGAAGACAGCCCGTGACTATTTTAAATATATTACTAGACAAGTGTGCTTTCGGTGAACAGATAAGAAAAGTGTTGTACAAGCGATAACGGTAACTACACTACTTAACTTAATCGTGGCTACTACTGTCCACAGTAATTGTTGAAGCACTGACGGACTACCGATGTGGCTAAATCATGGACTTACAATTTTACTTGTTTTATAGGCGCTTTACCTATTTTTTAGATATTTGAATTTTGT